CGTTGTACTTTATGTATAACATTTTTTTATGTGAAATTAATAAATATGATACACAAATTAGTAAGATACAATGATTTTGATATAATCAAAATTAACCTTCATTAAATCTCAAATCATTCTTTAAATTAATAAATATTAATTTATCGATTAAATAATATCTCTATAAAATAATAAAATTTCATGGTCCCACCTATATTAATTTATAGAGGTTTTACTATAGATATATAAATTAGTTATTTATTAAAAATTGAAAAAACGTCAATTCCAGAATTCACGAAACTTTGCAATTTTTGGGGGGAGAAAATGTTGTAATATTATAATACAAATACGAAAATTTGTAAAAAGAAAAAATCTTGCATCCAATTACAAGATAAAGAATGTAGAAAACCTCAACTTTTTTTTAAAAATAACCAGACAACCAATATAAAAAAAATTGGTATGATATGAGTTACTTATTGTGAAGAGTTACTGTTGTGATTGATCTTTAATGGAAGTATTTTAGAGAAGAAGATAGAAATCCTAAACTTGAAAGAGGGAGAAAAAAAAAAGGGAAGAAAGAGAGAATTGAAAAATACGTAAAAAAAATTTGTTGACAAATTATAAGGAGAGAGAAAAAAGGAATAATAAAAGCAAACAAGCTAACTGCTAGGAAATAGAGAGAGAAAATTCGGAAGGAAAATCAATTTTCAAAAAAATATGAACGTGGCTATGCAATGCCAAATAAATCTTAAAAAAATAAATCTGTTTTTGCTAAAAAAAATTAAAGTGGCTATTTATTACCAATAAAGTCTATAGGTTGTCATGCTATGACATTTTTTTCATATGAAGAATAAAAAAAAAATAGACCCACTATTTAAATGTCAAAAGTAAGAAAAAAAATAGGCCCGCTATTTAAGTATAAAAAAAAATAAATAATGGAGACAATCAGGACATATGATTTAAGCTTTTTTTTCTTTGGAAAAAGGCTCAAATATGTCATTGAACTTTCAGAAAATGTTCATGCCATACATTAAAAGTTTGGATCATCTATACCATTGTTGTTAAAGAAAAGCTCATTCATGCCATTTTTTAACTCCGATTTTGCAAAATCACTTTTTACACCTCAAATAAGGTTTAACACTTTTCAATTGAAGTTTTTAGATCAAACATACTCTTTTTGCTTATTATTCCTTTAAAACACCAAGAGCACATGAAAAACATAAACAACTCTCAAATTTTCAACATATTCAATTCTTCACGAAATCATCTCAAATTCTGGCGACATAATTAATTTTTTTTTTTTTTTTTTGAAAAACCAAATTCTAAAATCATTTGTAGAGTTTAAAAATTCACCTGTAGTAAAAAAAATATTCAAAAAAAAAACAAAAATTAATCCCAAAATTTCAAAAAATTGCTTTGATTCATGTTTTTGTAGTTGTTTTTGACATTTGATCTTTGTTCCCTACTGTTTTTTGAGTCTATATTCAAAATTTTAAATGATTTAAAGTTGTGGAGAAAATTCTACCATTAAAGAATGTTGAAGTTTTAAAACTTTAAAGAAATTTCAAATGAGTCTTGTTGAGTTAGGTTTAATTCGCGCTCAAAAGATATTGAGTTTTAATAACTAGCTTGGAGGGAAACTACTCTTGAAATTTGAGGTGATTTCGTGAAGAATAAAAAAAGTTTGAAATTTAGGAACTTTTAATGTTTTTTTTTTATGTGTTCTTGATGTTTAAAGAAAAAGCAAAAAGAGTACATTTGATCCAAAAACTCCAATGGAAAAGTGTTAAAAATTGTTTGGGATGTAAAAAAATGATTTTGCAAAACAGGAGTTTAAAAAATAACATGAATGAGTTTTTTCTTTAACAATAATGACATAAATGAACCAAACTTTTAACGATGACACATATAAACTTTTTTTCAAAGCTCATGACATATTTGAGCCTTTTCCCTTTTTCTTTTTTTTCTTTTTAGCATTATTGATTTCAATTGGCTTTGTTATTTATGATTTTCTTATGTTCAAATTGAAAACATTTATGATAACTAGAGGACCAAATTGGGTTTATTTTGAATATTTTTAAAAGTTTAAAAGTTTTAAATATTACACCAATTATCTTAATCACTAATTAAAAAAAGTTTGACTTGGTCAATCCTTTTTTGTCACCAATTTTAATTTCAACACTTTTTTGTCACCTCCTTCTCAATTTTGATCTTTGTTCCCTACTATTTTTTGAGTCTATATTCAAAATTTTAAATGATTTAAAGTTGTGGAGAAAATTTTACCATTAAAGAATGTTGAAGTTTTGAAACTTTAAAGAAATTTGGCAGAACGCATAAGCGGCCCCTTGAACTTGTAAGGATTTTCCTTATAGACACCTTAACAAGGACTTCTTCCTATTGAACACTTAAACCATTCAAAAAGTATACCTATCAGACACACCTGTCTGACTTGGCACTATCGTGTGAGACATTTGTTTTAAGGTGGAGTGCGTGACATTAGACATCTCCTACGTGGAAAAATCTAATCCTACGTGGTAATACACATCACAAAACACCCAACCCCTCAGTCATTTCTCTAAATCCCCAAAACGTGTTCCAAAAAACCCTAGAAATTTCTTTCACGATTCCCGCTCAATATGTGGTCGATTCAAGAAAAATAACTTTTGTTGTTGTGTTTTAAGGTTGATTCGAGAAAGCTAGGGGATTTTGTGTTCCATCTTGTGAAGTAAGTTCATTTTCGAATCTCTATGACTATTGCTGTCGATTTCCCCTTTAAATATAGCGTCTATTTTGTATATTACTACAGTGATGATGTTTTGTACATATGTGAATAAAGTTTGAATTTTTAGGGTTTTCTTGTCAGTAATTTGTCGGGTTTATTTTAATTTTTTTCCAGGGAATCTTATGGATATTATTATAGTAACTCGCTTTCACCATGGTGGTAAATTTGTGGAAGGCACATCTGGTGGAGGTCTCACTTACATAGGGGAAAGTGAAGTGGAATATGTAGGTATCGATAAAGACCACTTTTCTTTAATGGAATTGTTTTTTATACTAGAGATCTGGGGTATGTTACTGTGGGTGGGTTTTATTTTAAAGACCCTACAACCAATAACTATGTCGTTGTGGATAACGATTTCAGCTTACTAAACCTTATAAAATACCTAGGTGATGGTGACTTTTTGGCCTTGTATGTTCAACATGTTGTGGATGAGGTAGAGGTTATTAAAGATGGGGTCCCTACAGGTTATCTTTGTGGGCCAACAGTTGGTGAAAATGATAATGAGAATGGGGTAGAAAACTCATATAATATTAATGTGGATGAAGGGGCCAATCTGAGAATATTAATATTGAAGTTGGTGTAGATGATGCATCACATATTGGGATATTAGTGATGATTCACAAGGATTTGCTATTCCAGATAATAATGACTCAGAGATTGATGAAGAGTTGAGAACTCTTAGAAATGAAAGGAAAACCAAATTGCAAAGGAAAAAACCTGTTCCTATAGAGGAAATAATTCTTGGAGTAGTTGGTGTTGATAGAGGATTTGAAGACATTGAAAGGAACAAGGCTGCTAGGTATGTAGAAAGATTGGGGGGGAGATGAGCAATATATTGATAGTTCAGAACTAGATAGTGATGACAGTAGGGATGAGTTAGATCCTGAAGCTGTGGAAAGTGTTGATTTACCAGCTAGAAGAAAAAGTAAAAAGGTTAGATTTGATCCTGACTATGTAGTTGCTATATTTGAGCTTGGTATGGTATTTGAAAATGCCATAGAATTTAGAAAGGTTGTGGCATAGTATGCTGTGGAATATAAAGTCAAATTAAAATTGAGGCCTAATGAAAAACATAGAGTCAGAGTTAAATGTCAGCATAAGAAATGCAAATGGTTGTTGTATGCTAGTCTAGACAAAGACTCTGTTGACTTTATTGATAAGAATTACTATCATGTTCATCAGTGCCTTACCACAACCAAAAACAAGTTGTGTACATCTAACTTTATTACAAATAAGTTTAGGGACATAATAGTTTCTCAACCTTATATAAAGTTGTAGGAAATTCAAGAGTTAGTGAGGAAGACGACATGATTGTATGTTGGAAGAACTCTTTGTTATCAGGCAAAATTGATGATTCTCAAGGAGTTTATGGGTGATTGGAAGATGGAGTTTGCAAAGTTGTGTGATTATGCAGACATGATAAAACAGACTAATCTTGGTAGTTCATGTTGGGTGAGGACAGACAGGGAATCTACTCCAGAAAAGAATATGTTTGTTTACTTTTATGTTTGTTTACATGCATTAAAGAGAGGTTGGTTGGAAGGATGTAGAAAAATCATTGGTTTTGATGGATGTTTTCTGAAGGGTGCTTGCAGGGGTGAATTATTAATTGCAATTGGTAGGAATGGAAATCAACAAATGTTTCCAATTGCTTGGGCAGTTGTTGATCAAGAAACAAAGCACAGTTGGAGTTTCTTCATCAACTTCTTGATACAAGATCTAAACTTAGGCACTGGACATGGATTGACTGTGATGTCTGACATGCAAAAGGTTAGTTTAATGTTAATTTTATTTAATTTTGATCTCATTGCCTATTTATTTAATTATTATTAGTCATAAATTTCAATTTCAATTTCAATTATTATGATATGTAGGGTCTTGTAGCAGCCATAATGGAGTTGCTGCCAGATTGTGAGCAGAGGATGTGTGCTAGACACATCTGGTCCAATTGGAGAAGAATTGGAAAGGAGAAGAAAGAAGAAAACAATTCTGGAGATGTGCAAAATCAAGTTTTGAGGTAAAATTTCAAGATGAAATGGACAAACTTAATAAACTTGGTAATAAGATATGTGGGGACTTGTTACATTATGAAAAAAAGACATGGTGTAAAGCATATTTTAAGGAGCATGCTAAGTGTGATGTTGTTGAGAATAATATGTGTGAGACATTTAATTCTTGGATATTAGCTGCTAGACATAAATCAATTATCACCATGTTAGAGGAGATTAGACATAAGATAATGGATAGAAATGTTGAGATGAGAAAATTTGTTGACACTTGGATATCAGACATTTCTCCTATGGCAAGTTTAGTACTGGAAGAAAACAAAGATTATGCTAGAGATTGTCAAGTTAGGTTCAATGGCCAATTTGGATATGAAATTTTAGATGGTCATTATAGGCATATTATTGATATAAGAAAGAAGACATGTACTTGTAGAACCTGGCAGTTGAGAGGCATACCATGTCAACATGTTGTTTTGGCTTATCAGCATGCAGGCCAAGACCCTGAAGATCATGTTGTACATTGGTATAGAAAAGATACTTTCATGAAGGCTTATAATTACTTTATCCAGCCAATACCTAACATGAAAATGTGGCCTCACACTAGTGATATAGTGATTGAGCCTCCTGAACCAAAGCAAATGCCTGGCAGACCACCAAAATGCAGAAGAAAGTCAAAGGATGAGCCAAGAAAGAAGTATGGAAAGTTGTCCAGGAGAGGTGTAAAAATGACTTGCTCCAAGTGTCATCAACAAGGCCACAATAATAAAGCCTGCAAATATGTGGTAATACTCAAGCAAACCTTTAATTACTTCAATTAAATAGATAAAATGCAATACAATTTTTCTTTTTCTTATTTACACTATTAAATCTTCTGAAATGGGTCAGCCTGGAAGCTCAAGCCAACCTGCTAGCTCAAGTCAGCCTCAAAGCTCAAGGCAACCTACATGTTATAGCCAACCACCAAGCTCAAGTGTAGGTTCTAGCCAGCCACCAAGCTCAAGGCAACCAAGAAGTTGTAGCCAACCACCAAGCTCAGGCCAACCTGTAGGTTCTAGCCAGCCACCAACCTGGAGCCCATCACAACATGTCAACTCAGGCCAACAATCAACTTCTATCTGTGATGATACTTAAAGACATGTACTTGTAGAACCTGGTAGTTGAGAGGCATACCATGTCAACATGCCGTTTTGGCATATCAGCATACATGCCAAGACCCTGAAGATCATGTTGTACATTGGTATAGAAAAGATACTTTCATGAAGGCTTATAATTACTTTATCCAGTCAATACCTAACATGAAAATGTGGCCTCACACTAGTGATATAGTGATTGAGCCTCCTGAACCAAAGCAAATGTCTGGCAGACCACCAAAATGCAGAAGAAAGTCAAAAGGATGAGCCAAGAAAGAAGTATGGAAAGTTGTCCAGGAGAGGTGTAAAAATGACTTGCTCCAAGTGTCATCAACAAGGCCACAATAATAAAACCTGCAAATATGTGGTAATACTCAAGCCAACCTTTAATTACTTCAATTAAATAGATAAAATGCAATACAATTTTTCTTTTTCTTATTTACACTATTAAATCTTCTGAAATGGGTCAGCCTGGAAGCTCAACCCAACCTGCAAGCTCAACCTAACCTGCTAGCTCAAGTCAGCCTACAGGTTATAGCCAACCACCAAGCTCAAGGAAACCAACAAGCTTAGGCCAACCTGTAGGTTCTAGCCAGCCACCAACCTGGAGCCCATCACAACATGTCAACTCAGGCCAACAATCAACTTCTATCTGTGATGATACTTCAATTGTTAGAAGAGTTCAACAAGCTGGAAGAGGCAAGGGGAAGAGGTAGGGGAAAAGGCAGGGGGATAGGAGGTGATGATACTTCAACTGTTACAGGAGGGCAACAAGCAGGAAGAGGTAGGGGAAGAGAAGGAGCATCAACATCAACAGGAGGAAACAAAAGGCCTAAGACTGTGGGATTTGGAATCTACACTGATGATATAAGTGGCAGACAAACATTAAATGTAAGAGTATAACCAACTTCAATTATTATAATCTACTTTGATAATAGGAACTTATTTTAGTTTCTTGTATACAGCCTGGTACAGTAGGTGAAAGAGTTGTTACACCAGCTGTTTTCAAGTGTGCAACACCAACAAACATTGATATTGGTTATAAGCCTCGTGGACTGAAAATGGAAAGGGTAAAAATGCTATCACCACTCCACAATTACAATGCATGAGTAAGTCCAAAGGGGGTGGATCTGCAAACGTCTAGTGCAACAAGAGCAAGAGCAGAGGGGTATGACTACTTTAATATGTTTTAGGTGTTTTTGATGTACACTTAGGGGTTGTTTTATTTGTATCTGTAATGCAAGCAGGAAACAATAGTTGAGACTGCTTTAATATGTTTTGTGATGTTTTTGATGTACACTATAACTAGTGGTTTAAATGTGGATTTTCTTACAAGGAAATGCCAAGATTTTTTTGTCGATCATTCATGCTTGTTTGGAGCTTAATGTTATTGTGTTGTTCACTTAGTATGGTTATTGTTATTTGGAGGTGAAGAAAGCAAGGAAGAAGCTTGAAAAAATGTCACTTAAGGCATCTCCGTACCCTCTCCGCGACGCGGAGAGGAATTATAATTTGGCTCATGAAATCAAATTCCAGGCAGAGCACTCCGTGCCCTCTCCGCGTCGTGGAGAGGGATTCCTAAATTAATTCAACAAAGCGAGTTTGAGGCAGAACACTCGCGGAGATGAGCAATTGTGTGCGAATGGGAATTTAAAGATGCCTCCGCGTCACGGAGATAAGCAATATGATAGATTAATGAACAACTTATCTCCATTCCTTCTTCCAAAATTAGTACAATAGAAACACAAGACTACTAATACAATCACTCTAAGACTACTAACATAAATATTTCCATATAACGAAAATCACGAGTGCAATAACACATATGATCTTGATTTTTCTTGCCTGCTTCCTCTCTTGTTCATAGGATTTGATTCTTTTCAATAGACCCCATATGATCTTTTTTGCTTGAGGCGGTATTTCATCATCGTACCATCGAAAATAATCGCATTCACCTCTTCTCTACACAAATTATCAAAATAATTAAACTATAATTAGCGATTGACAACGATTTGTTTAACCAGATTAGAATAATGATAAAAAGCTTACCTTTGTGTTTTTGCAGTAAAAAAATCGACATCCTGTATTAAGTTGTGTCCATGAAGTTTTCAATTCAGCATTGACCCCACATCGACACAACACATTTGCATCCGAAGAAGTTGAAATCGAAAAATTAGACATTTCCTTCGCTGTGAAGAAGACGAATGAAGAAATTTTTTTGATCTCCACTGCAGTAGCAACAATGGTGAGATGTGGAGAAGAAAGAGATGAGAAATAAATAAAAGGGAGGAATCTAGGGTTGGATAAATAAAAGGGGAAGATTTTGACCGTTAAGTATGTTAAAGTGTGCCAATTAGACACATCAACTTTTTTTTTCTCACTTCATGCGCTCAAAAGGAGTGCCTCACACGATAAGTGCCAAGTTAGACAAGTGTGTCTGATAGGTACACTTTTTGAGTGGTTTAAGTGTCCAATAGGAAGGAGTCTTTGTTAAGGTGTCTATAAGGAAAATCCTTACAAGTTCAAGGGGCCGCTTATGCGTTCTGCCAAGAAATTTCAAGTGAGTCTTGTTGAGTTAGGTTGAATTCGCGCTCAAAAGATATTGAGTTTTAATATCTAGCTTGGAGGGAAACTACTCTTGAAATTAGAGGTGATTTCGTGAAGAATCAAAGAAGTTTGAAATTTAGGAGTTGTTAATGTTTTTTATGTGTTCTTGGTGTTTAAAGAAGTAGCAAAAAGAGTACATTTGATCCAAAAACTTCAACGGAAAAGTGTTAAACATTGTTTGGGATGTAAAAAATAATTTTGCAAAACTGGAGTTTAAAAAAATAGCATGAATGAGTTTTTTCTTTAACAACAATGACATAAATGAACCAAACTTTTAACGATAACACATATGAACTTTTTTTCAAAGCCCATGACATATTTGAGCCTTTCCTTTATTTTTTTTTCTTTTTAGCATTATTGATTTCAATTGGCTTTGTCATTTATGATTTTCTTATGTTCAAATTGAAGAACATTTATGATAACTAGAGGACCAAACTGACATTATCCTTTAAAGACAAAAAGTCATCATCAAAGGGAAGAGCTGCAGCTACGAAGTGACAATGGCTTCCCTTCACGTTGCTCTTTCTTCACTTCCCGGTCCCAGTTTCCGGCCAACAGGCAAGTTGGTAATCCGGTGTTCCGCCGACCGGCAAGCGCTGTTTAATCGCATTGCCCCTGTTTATGATAATGTGCGCACCGCACTACCTCTCCTCCATTCACTACTCAATTTGTCACTTCCTTAATAGCTATATGCTTATTGTTTGCTTAATTTTCATGCTTGCAGTTGAATGATCTCCTGAGTTTGGGCCAACACCGCATATGGAAAAGAATGGCTGTTTCCTGGAGCGGGTAAAACCTATTATCCCTTTCTCCTATTTAATAATCCATCTAGTCCATATTAGGTGAATTATTCAAACTTTTTTTTATAGTTTGAAATAAGTGAATTATACAATGTTTTAGAGAATTGTTGAGTTTTTCTCCATATTTAACCTTCCTTTAATGAGTTTATTAACTACTGTACATTTTCTAAGGAAATAGTTTGGTAATAATCAAAAGGATAATAGTTCCTAATTATTTTTCTTAAGGGGTGTCATACAACAACAATTTACTTAATATGGACTAGAAGGAGTACGGTTTATGTCCTATATAGCAGGACGCCGTAGACAATGAAATTGGTGTCACGAAAATATTGTAGCAATAGTAGTATTCTATTTCAATACAATGAATGTTACAATCTCTATGATTCCTCTTTTCTGAAATAAGTTTATGGCCTTTGAGCTTGATCTTGACTTGTATGAATATTCAAGGTGGTTTGAACTTTATTTTGAAATGTAATCTTGAACTTGAATGTGGCTTTGATTTAGTCGTTGCAAGTGCTTTGATGACTGTCACACATAATAATTATCTCAGGAAAAATTAACTTTGATCTTGATCGTCTTGGTATTTGATTTGCCTTCGTTTTTGATGTTCAGGATTTGAAAATTGTAGAGGAATTCTTGAATGTTTGTAGCATGTAGAGAAATTTATAGCCTTTGATCCACGAGCTTTCTCTTGTTTATTGTTCTGAATTCTTGTCCCCGTGTTTGAATTATGAGAATCCCTATTTATAGTTATGAGAGACAAAGAGGCTGAAACAAATTTGGAGAACATTTCACTTTGTAATTTGTGGACTCTAAGGCTGGAAAGAAACAATATATGCTTTGAAGGCAAAAAGAGTCACATTTCAATGGTAAAAAACAACCGTATTCATAATCTTTACTATTTGGCATAAGGACTTGTAAGAGGAAATAGATCAATATCTTATTTCCTAGATATGTTAGGGAGAAGCACACAATGGTTGGTTGGACTGAGTTTTTCTTTCTGCTGTCATTTTTGTACAATCTTGGTACTTTATTAATAAATTTTATCCTACCTTAAAAAGAGTTGTGGGGAGAAGAGTTGTGATGATGACAAACTTGTTTCTTTGATGAGTTGGCATGAATCACCGACCAATCAAGTTGAAGCACTGAAAAGACTACATTTGATTGGTTGAATCATGCCACTTGTACATATGACACATTTTCATTGCCTTTGATTTGACTAAGCATGTCACATTATTTTGGCTTGTTCATTTAACTTGATGTGCCTTGCCATTTGACATGTGACACAAGTTTGGCCTCTAGAATAAGATGACATCTTGTCTATCGAAGTGGCTCATAATCTGTATCCCAAATAAATATTAACCCAACGAAACTGAATCTTTAGTTAAATTCATATTTATTGGACTCAAATAATTTGTCAAATTATATTAGCCAACAATATTTGTTTGGATTAATATATCTTGGATTTAAAATATAGTCCATATTTTATGAAGTTGAATCCAATTTGATTTAAATGCTTACGCATTGATGTCAAAATTTTCTGAGTATATATTTTTTTCCATACATTTATAAAAATGGTTTTCAGATTAAAAAA